ATCCATCCATCCATCCATCTATCTATCCATCCATCTATCTATCCATCCATCTATCATTGACTTCTGAAGCCTAGGCCTGTTTAGTTGAACACAACACACAGGAATTGAAGAAAGACACACAAGGCTATTCTTCAGCATCTCTAAATCTCTTTCTCTTCATATCTTTTACAATCATCTGCTTCCACGTACTGGAAGATTAGGTTGCAATCATCTGCTTCCACGTACTGGAAGAGTATTAGGTTTTTCTGACTGTTATTGTTGCTAAGACAAAATATTAATAGTTAAAAAACATATGCTTTCAAGTGAATTTGGATAATTCTTTACAGTACATCAGATGATCTCTCACAGTGCACCCATACAGTGGTTGGTAATCACTGCTGTAATCAGAAAGCCATGTTGAGAAAAACTTCAATTCACCAAAAGAAGTGAAACGTGCTAAGCTAGCCAAAAACCAGTATAAATCTAGCGTATAAAACAGTGTCCAGCTAGTTAAGATACATTTTGAAATCAGCTAAAAATGCTTGTTAACTTGGACAAAATCTAATGTTACAGTAATGTTACCCACAACCAGTGTAACGTTGGCTAAGAACCAGTTAGAGGTAGCTTAACATCTATTTGAAGTTAGCCAAAAAAGCAGTGTTAAAGAATCGACCACGGCCACGGCCAAGAGTACACCCAAAAAGTACATTTGATGGTAAAATTTAAATGCCACTTCTAATGTTTTGGTCACATGACATCCACAGATGGAGAGAGCAGGCGAAAATCTGTGTAGTGCTGCTGGTTATTCTGCAGTCATGCAGAGAGTTGACACCAGATACTGTGAGATGAAGAGAGGGATGAGCGGAACAGAAGAGGAAGAAAGCTGTCCGATGGGGGGAGGGTGTGTTTGTTGGTGCTGGTGTGACCCAGAAAAGAACAATCTCTCTCTCTCTCTCTCTCTCTCTCTGTATCTATGTCTCCCTTCCTCATTTTCACCCTTCTGCTAATCCCACAACACTCACGTCCTCTTCGTAAAACACCTCTCAGGTTTCAGTGTCTGCAGAATCACGAACATTAGAAATGGACTCCTGTCGTTTTCTCATTGTGTGTGAAAATGACATCATATGTGTCCATGATGCTTTGCTACGTACAGTATGTCTATGCGGTTGTTTAGGTATTAATTCATCTCCCAACCTGACACCGGCTATTTTAAGCTTGTTCACTAGCCTTTGGGCTAGTTTGAACACAATGGCCTATATGCTAAGAAAAAGTTGTGATCTTGTGATCAAGACCTTTAATGCCTCTGTAAACAATATTTACAGGGGCAAGGCGTTAGCCCATCTAAAAGCGTTTGCCTATCTCTCAGGACCGACTAACCCATGTTCAACTGCTGTGCACATGGAACCCTTCAACTCCACTTCAACCTTCATAGATCTCATTTGAATATTTGTATATATATATTATTAAACATTGAAATTGAATTTATCGCTGGTGCAAGGCTTTACTTCCATGTAATTCTGACTCGACTAGAACACGAGACTAACAGCAGAGAAGAGAACGCAGGCAGATTTCAAATTAGATAGATAGAAAGATATGTTATTGATTCCAATGGGAAATTAAGGATCCATGTGATTCTTCTGGGAATTGAAGCCATGACTCGGCTCTTTGCTTCCAAGGTCGGCGTGCTAACTAGTACACTATGGAAACACCCAAAATTAAGATAAGTAATGGTGGCAGCGGTGGGATTCGAACCCACGCCCCCAGAGAGACTGGAGCCTTAATCCAGCGCCTTAGACCCCTCGGCCACGCTACCATTGGATTTTTTGTTTATTGACCTCAATCTGTGTATGTGCACTCACTAGTATCTATTCTGATTCTTTAAATGGATCAACCCTCATTCGACCTGTTTTCTTGCAAACTCACTGCTCCCAGCTGTTGCTGTAGCTACTCCTAGTCCTGTACCGTTTGAAACATCAGCATATAAAAACGAATGCTCCTGCAGATCTTTACGCTGAGCGGCTAGCTTTACTGTATTCCTCAGTAAAACCTCTCGTTGCCCCTGCGGCTCATCTTCAATCCTTCTCTTCCTTCACTTAGCTTAGCTGCCTGACATTGAATATGATAATGGGCCTCTCGTGCTGCCTGTAAACTGAAGGTTTTGATTGGAGTACTATCTCTTTTCCGGCACTCTCATTCTTTCCATGTTGGAATTTCAGTCCCGTTCCAGCAGTTTATCTTCTGGCTTCAGCGTTTCTAAGTCAACTTCCTTCCTTCTCTGTCTCTGTCGTCCATTTATCTGTCTTATTTCACTTCTGTCTCTGACTTTTGACATAGCTCGCAGCGTGCGACCAGTTACTAACTCAAATATATTTTCTCCTGTTACTACCTGGAACATTAAACCAAAATTCTGTCCAAGAAATAGGGTGTTGACATCCTGGGGTTTTTTTTTCACAATAAGGGAGAATGTTTTTTTTCTTGTGAAACATTCACATCTGGTGCTGTTGAGTTTGTTATTGAGCGCATAAATCAACTCCTGTGAGATAATTTGGCTTAACTTTTTGGCTTTGTGTTGTTGAAAAACAAGAACAAGATAAGATAGGGCACAAAAATTCTTCTGAGCAAGTACAGGGATTCTCCTTTTGGGATTACTTCACACACAATTTGCGTAGATGTGTGTCTTTAAAGGCTAGTTCTGGTGTATTTTCTTTTTTTTCAATTCAGACTTTGTTTTGACTACTCAGCCTCGATTGGATTATTTGGAAAATTGGTTTATATTTATTACTTTCACCACTTAAACAGAAAATAAAGATATTTTATTTTATATAAAGATATTATGCATTTAAATGTTTGTCAAACATAATATTTGGGTTAAAAAGTGTCAAATTTCTATACGTTTAAACAGGACCGCGATTGATGATTAGAACCATCACCAAACAAAAATGTCTCAAAAAGTCTATGTAATTAAATGTAACTATCTTTTTGTTTCATTTCACTCACACTTTACTTTGTCACCTAGGCCTGTTTAGTTGAACACATCACTGTTACACTCACAGGAATTGAAGAAAGACACACATCAAGATCTTCTTCACCAGATTTTTATAGCCTTCTGCTGCCATCCGAGTACTCGATTGTTCTCCCTGTCACTTCCTGTCGCTTGGTTCGACGACAATATTTCTAGTACATACGCTTTGGTTTTTGCACAGTAGCTGGAATCACTCACCTAAAATACCATGGGAAGTTTTGCAAAAAATAAACGTCTTCTGGATTGAAGCCCAAGGAGTAAATTCTGTAGCAGGCCCTGAGTGTCAAAGCTAGTTTGGGTCAAAATGATACATATACACACATGGCAGTGATTTTATTCCCATTCATGAGACGAAATGAGAAATCCAACGTAGTACATTTAAATATTTACAGTATAGTCATTTTCCTGTTCACTGACATCCTGTAAACAATACAGTTTACAGGATGTCACCGATCCGATGTTGCACTTTCACTTATAAAAGAAAGGAGAAACAAAAGAGCCACATCATCCAAACGACAACAGCTGGTCTTGGGTTCTAGATTAGCTAATTAGCTACAATACGCAAAATGGATTCCAGCAGTTCTCGGTGGCCGGTGGTTTAAGAAGTACAAAAGCAATAAACACAACAACTATAACTCAACATAACAAGTACATCCATCCTTGGCGTGACAGCCCTCAGGCCTCACACCCGTGAGTGGAGTAGTCCTCAAACTCTGGAGATAACAACTGACCCCATTAGCTCCTGAATGTCAGTGCACCTAAAGTCATCTTGGTTGTAAATACTGTAACGAGATAGGAGATATGTGGCTGGGTTTGTTTAGGACGAAGTAATTGTTGTCAAGGACAAAAGTGTTGAGAAAGTTGATTTAAAAAAAAAAAACAGCTAATGTTGTTAATAAACAGTCAGGCAAGTTCCATCAATATATCCTTGTTATTTTTATATTCGGTCTTTTTTTTGGGAAGCGATTTAAAGAACGCTACTCTGTCGTCAATTAGAGCAAGGGCTCTATCTTGTGGCCACATACTAGATTACAATTACTGTGGATAAGACGATGTTTTTTTTAATAAATCAGTTTCACATATTGAGTGCTGTAAAACAGCGAGTTCTTTTTTTTTTTTTTAAATACTTATACTAATACTTAATAAAAATTATACAATATAATAAATATACTAAATTCATATAAATTTGACGGTGTAAAATTGCAGTTCTATGAGATTTTGATAATCTAACAATCTTACTATACAATATGTCATTTCAATTATGTAATCTAATTGTATTAATTTAAACAGCTTAATCAGTAAAATGCCACCTCCTTTGTAACACTGACCAAGTAAAAAATATTTTGGAGAATGGGGTAATCTTAAGTTTGTGACTGATCCTTAAAAAGTTGTCCTTCTTAAATTTGCATTTTTTTTTAAACTTAAACATATTAAACAATATTTTTTTATCTCGTCACAGGCTGGAGAGAAGCACTACCACCCCACATGTGCCCGCTGTGCCCGCTGTGAGCAGATGTTTGCAGAGGGAGAAGAAATGTATCTGCAAGGTAAAAAATAAGAATATATATAAATATATATATACATATATATACAGATATGTGTATATATTTATATATATGATGTTGACAAATTTAGGTTGTACCACACACTCCTACGGAAACTCCAATATGAAATGTAGGTGCTGTAACTGGATCTGCCTAATCACAGAGGATTAAACGGTACGGCACATGACTGTCTATTCTTAGGCGACAGGAAGCGGAGTGAAATGTCTAGAGATGACAGGCTCTTTTGTCGTCTCACTTCATTCCAGTTTATCTACCCCCCCAGCACCATAAATATACTAAATTCATATAAATTTGTGTAAAATTTCAGTTCTCTGAGATTTTGATAATCTAACAATCTTACTATACAATATGTCATTTCAATTATGTAATCTAATTGTATTAATTTAAACAGCTTAATCAGTAAAATGCCACCTCCTTTGTAACACTGACCAAGTAAAAAATATTTTGGAGAATGGGGTAATCTTAAGTTTGTGACTGATCCTTAAAAAGTTGTCCTTCTTAAATTTGCATTTTTTTTTAAACTTAAACATATTAAACAATATTTTTTTATCTCGTCACAGGCTGGAGAGAAGCACTACCACCCCACATGTGCCCGCTGTGCCCGCTGTGAGCAGATGTTTGCAGAGGGAGAAGAAATGTATCTGCAAGGTAAAAGATAAGAATATATATAAATATATATATACATATATATATACAGATATGTGTATATATTTATATATATGATGTTGACAAATTTAGGTTGTACCACACACCCCCCAGCCCCTGTTCCCCCACTCTTCTTCTCCCACTACACCCCCACCACCAGCAGCAGCAGAACTGAACGTCAGCGTTGAACCCAATGTGATATGTGATATATGTCTCTGCGGGATTCTTTTGAACTGTGTGCGCACATCAGTGAATGACTCATAAAGATTCCTGCCAAAGTCAAACAGGTCACACTCTGCTGCATCACCGGGTGACAGTAGAGGCTGCAGTGTCTGAGTTTTGGTCACAGGAAAAACGTGAAG